CGTTAGTATTTTGATACCATCTTAAATTCTGTAAGCTTTTGATAGGCAACAGGGATTGGAATTTTGTACTTCAAAAATGCTTAGCTGAGATTCTTGATGTTAACCCGCCTTCTTACATACAGAAGATTTTAACCACATCCTTATCAAACTGAAGAATATGAAAGTGATTCTCATCAAGAAGCTAAAGGAGGGAGGGCATAGCTCAGTGGCAGAGTGCCTGCTTGGCATTCACGAGGTCCTGGGTTCAATCCCCAGTACCTCCTCTAATAAACCTAATTTAAAAACTGAAGGAAATAAAAGAAGCTACAACGAAGCTCCCAGAACGCACCTGGGCACGTACACACACAAAATCTTTACATAACAGTCTGGGGAAGGTCACGAACCCCCGGCTGGGCTCTCACCCCTCCTCCTAAACCCCTTCCCCAGACTACCAAGTCTGGCTTCCGGTGAAGGGCTGGTTTGATTTTGAACACCAAACTAACAGTCAGGAATTTCTTTGATCCTCAATGACAAGAGATGAAGTTGCTGGGATATTAGCAATTGTTTCAAGCAAGAAAAAGGTAAGATAAAAGTAAAGGAGAGAGAAGAGCAGGGAAGACACAGAGAGAATGAATGAGGAGTGGGTGAATTTGGGAATGAAGGGAGGAAGGAGGGGATACAGAAAAAGGGCCCTAGAGGCAGGGCGTGGGGGATGGGGAGAGGCGGCCAGCCCTCCCTCGGGGAAGTCCAGAGAAGACTTTAACTCCCTCAGCTCCTGCTGGCCCCCCTGGCTCCGCGAGCCGTCATCTGTCCAGCCTCCCGGCTCCTTCCACTGTGTCCCTAGGGGCTCTCCTCCCTGCTTCCCTCAGCCTGGCTTCCTTCTCACCGGGGCCCACTGCACTGCTCTGCGCCTCTCCCCTCGACCAGGGTTTCCCGCTTCTGCTGCCTCCGTTTCTTCACCACCCCTTCCCTTTCTTGCTCAACAATTTGATTTCTACTGTGGTCTTGGGGCCTCTAATCAAGAAAGACCATAGTGAAAAATAAAATGTTTTTTCCTGTCTTCATTTATTTTACATAGTTACTCACCTTTTCCCTTAGAACTCTCTTCTATCTTGATTTCTGTGTTCGTTTAGTGATTTTTTTTTTACTTCTTTGTTGTTTCACTTGCTCCACCTCTTTCTTTCCCTCTAAATCTGAGCAGTCCCAGAGCTTCGCTCTCACTTTTCCGTTTTCTTCACACTCCCTCCCCTGAGGAAGCTATGGATCATAAGGTACTGTAGTGTGGTGAGAAAAACAAGGGTTTCAGAAGCAGGGGGAGTGAGGGGAACCTAAATTCTGGTTCTAATATCACTGCTGTGCAACCTTGAACAAATTTACTAACCTCTCTGAGCCTCTGCTTCTCCCAGATGAAAAAAACTGAGGACAATATGTTCCTAAAATTGTTGTTGTGAGGATTGAGTGGGCTAAGATTTGTAAGAAAGTGCTTGTCTTAGTCTTTCATTGAGTAAGCATCTTGACCATCGACTATATGCCAGACTCAATATAAGATGCTGAGGAATGAAGCAATCAACAATACAGTTTTCTGCCCTAAATCTACTCACAATTTAGGAAGGAGACAAATACATACATGCATGCATGCATACATACGTACATACATACATACATACTCTGTGTCAGGAGCAACAATAGGAATATTTACAAAACAGAAAGGACACAGGAAAGGGAATAAATAAATCTACTGGAGGCTTGTGAGACAAGGAGGACTTCTGGGGAAAGGTTATGTTTGAGCTGGACTTTTGAAGGATAAATGTGAAAGACAGAAGCAGAGAAAACAGGTTATATAGAGGCACCTAAGTGTCCAACAGCGTGGACTCTTCAGGCTGGAGGGGTATGGAGTGGCCAGATAATAGTGATGTGGCAATAATGCTAATAGCACGCATAACTGAGCGACTGCTCCGTGCCAGGCACTGCCACGTAATTAAGCACTTTGCACACCTGATTTCATGAAATCCTCGTTACAACAACCCTGTGAGTGGCGGAGCTTGGGCTTGATCCCTTGGCCAAATTAGAAGACTGATTAAGTCATAAGTTTATTTTTTCAATAGTGGTGAAATACACATAACATACGTTTTATCCATTTTTAAGTGTACCTTTCCATAGCACCAAGCACATTCACATTCTTGTGCTGCTGTCGCCACCATTCATCCCCAGAACTCTTCATCTTGTAAAACTGAAACTCTGTATCCCTTAAACAAGAATTCATTCTCCCTCCTCCTCCCAGGCCCTGGCACCACCATCCTACTTTCTGTCTCTGTGAATTTGACTACTCTAGGTATCTGAGAACAGTGGGAATGTACAGTATTTGTCCTTTTGTGACTGGCTTATTTCATTCAGCATAATGTCCTTGAGGGTTGTCCATCTCATGCAGCATGTGTCAGAATTCCTTTTTTTTTTCCTAAGCTGAGTAATACTCTCTTGTATGCATATGCCACATTTTGCTTATCCATTCATCCATCCACAGACACTTAGGTTGCATTCACCTCTTGGCTGTTGTGAATAATGCTGCTGTGAACATGAGCGTACAAATACCTCTTTAAGACCCTGCTTGCAAGCCTTTTGGGTGTATATACAGAAGCGGGTTTGCTGGATCACAGGATCATTCTATTTTTGTTTTATTTTTTTGAGGAAATCCATGCTGAAAGGCATCCGTTTTGAAGATGAATCTGGGAGAGGAAGGCTGGGGGCAGGATGCCACTCCCTGAGTAGAGATGGTAAGAACCTCCACTTCAGGCTAAGGGAATGTAAGTGAGCAGCTGACAAGAACTTGGTGCCTAACTGGCGGCGGGAGGAGGGGAAGGTGGGAATTCTGGATGACTGACTCCCTTACAGGGTATCCCCTGATTTTTTGCCTGAAGCTTATACAAGCTTAGGGGCCCTTTTTGAGAAAAAGAAATTTTTAAATGAATTTAAAGAATTAAGTTCAAGCCTCTGAAAGGGGTCCATGGAAGTGAGGGGCCCTCCTGATGTAGAAGAGTGTGTGCAGTGCACGTCATGTTATTTAGCCCGCCAGCATCCTTCTTTGAGGTTGTGGGTCTTCCCTCTTGCAGCTCCTGTGGGCGAGGGAGCTGCCTACTCACCTCCCACACCGTCTCAGGCCCAGACCTGCCAGTCAGAGCGCTGTGGCTAAGGGATTGCTGTAGGGATGGGGAGGTGACCCAAAGCAGCCCAACTCAGTTCTGGGACTTTCATTGAAACTTGTAGAAATATTTCATTTTTCTATGATGCCGATGCCTTTTTTTTGGTGGCTGCTAAGAAGTTAGGATATAAGCCTGGACTTTCTGGTGGTAAATTTGACACCAAAAGGGAAGAGTCAATGGACACGAAGCGGAGACACACTGGCTTGTAATGCCCTTTGACTGAGTCCCTAGAGCTTCAGCCTCTTCTGTCACGTGAACCAACTCAGCCCATTTTTTTGTCTGCATCACTTTGAGCTAGTTTTCTGCCTGCTGTAACCAAAACATCCAGCTTCCATATCTGTTCACCAAAAAGAACTCTGGCAGGCCCTGCTTGGATCTTGTGCCTCCTTGGACCTGATCACTGTGCCTAGGGGGACAGGGCAAAGCCTTTGACAAGTCAGCCCCATGAGTGCCTCTGGTTGGGGAGGAGGTGGCCATGTGATTAGGAGACTAAGGCCTTACCACATCAGTGAGTGGTGGGTACTCCCCAGAAGGAGGAGGTGAAGCCAAAGGAAAAAAAAAAGGAAGCAGCTGTGCCTTGCAAAAGTGGTCTCAGATTCTTGAGGGATCTAGGAAGCTAGTTTCTGAGAAATCTTCCTAAAGCAAGTCTAGTTTCAGTTCCTAACTTGCTCTGTATTAACCGACTGTGGTCAGGCTGTGTGTCCTTTCTTACTGAATCTTAGTTTCTGATGGTAAAATGAGAATAGATAATATTTACCATTTTCAGGGTTACTGTGAGTGATGCTTATAAATGAAGTGGCCGTTTATCATCTAAACAAGGGACACTTGTGAGGGTGAAAAGGAACACTATCAAAGATCCTTATCAGGACTGCCTGGGACAAAAAAACACTAGCGCTACCCCTGTCACTCTCAAAATTATCCCTATTTGGATGATAAAAGATATGATCTCGCTGCTCATAGTGCACCTGTAACATTGCTTAGCGCATAGTAGGTACTTAGAAGTCGCTTAGCCTCCTCTGAGACTTCTAATACAACTGACTGATTCCTTCCTACTTCTTTGTAATTCTCTGGCATTGTGTCTACACAGGGTGTACTCTCCAGAACAGTTTTCACTCTTGTCCCAGTGGGAAGGTAACAGGGCAGTATAATCCACAGATGTGTGTCTGTGAAAGAGTACCTTCTTACAGCTCCCCACCAATTGCTTTTAATTAATGGGAATTTGGAAAGGTAGCATTGACCTCTTTAAGAGCATTTATTTCAATTCAAAACGTTCTGCATGTTAAAGGCAGCTCCAGTTAAAATACTTAAGATTGTTGGGACACACCCTGGGAGTTATTTTGTAATGTGAAATTTCACTTAAACTCTAGCATTTGCTGACACATGCTGTTGTTAGAATTTGGTCAGAATTTTCTAAACCTATCCTGGCAATGATATATACTATAAGAAAACACAAAAAATTGGTCAAAGATTGAATAAACGCTTCGTGAAAAAGATACACACATGACAAAATAAGCACGTGAAGAGATGCCCAACATCATTACTAATTCAGGAGATTAAAATTTAACCCACAGTGAGACACCACCTCACTCCTAGTAGGATGGCTAAACTTCAAAAGATTGATCATACCAAGTGCTGGTGAGGAGATGGAGGAGCTGGCTCGTACATGCTGCTGGTGGGAATGCAAAATGTTACAAGTATTTTGGGACGAGTTGGCAATTTCTTTAAAAGTTTAATATATACCTTTCATATGATCCAGCCACTCCACCCGTAGGTATTTATCCAAGAAAAATGAAAGCACATGTCCATAAAAAAGACTTGAACACAAATGTTCATACAGCTTTATTTGCAACAGCCCAAAACTAAAAACAACACAAATGTTCATCAACAAGGGAATGGATATACATACTGATATATCTTTACATGTGGAATATAATAAAAAGGAATGAACTACTGATACATGCTACAACATTAATGAATCTCACAATAATTTTGCTGAGTGGAAGAAGCCATTTAAAATGGACACGCTGTATGGTTCCATTTATCTAAAATTCTAGGAAACACAAACTGATACGTAGAGACAGGAAAAGTATCAATGGTTGTCTGATCAGGTAGGGTAGCAAGGAGGAAAAAGAGGGAGGGGTTTTAAAAGACCCATTTTAAAGTATATAGTGGTGTCAAATACATTTACATTGTTTTGTGAACATCGCCACTGTCCAATTCCAGAATTTTGTCATCACCTCGAACTAAAACTTTGTACCCATTACATAATAGCTCATGAAACAAAACTCACATTTTTGTCTATAACTCTTCATGACAAAATTAAATATGATTCTTGTACATTCTCCAAGGAATGACCTTTGAGTAGATTAAACAACTTTGATGCCATGTTCTCCATCTCCACTGTGATGAGATAGGCTTACACGGCAGCGGGAACAGCATCTGACAGAACTGAGATTTGTACCTCAAGTGTGGCCGCCATTCCCACACTCCTTGCTCCCAGAGAAAAGTGGGTGAGGTCACGTCCATGACACAGCCACTATCACACTACTGGAAAAACAGCCCAGACTGCTTGCCTCACTAATCCTAGGTCAATTGTGTCATCTTTGTGTGGGAAGAATGACCTAATTATCATTCTTACCTCCTGACTAAATTAGCAAATTGTGTATAAATCATTTCACTTTCCTCTCTATTAGCTGTCTCCACCTTCCACCTCCCCTGACCCTGTCATTCAAAAGTCCTTGAAAAGCTAATAGCAGTCTTGTGCATTTTCTTTAAAAGTTGTCTTACTCATTTCTGTTCCAGGTCAGCGCAGCTACAGTGAGCTGTCTGGCTCCTTTTCTCAAGCAGGTTGCCACACCTGGTTTCATGATCTGCTCTGGTGTTTGCTAAACAAAACCCTCATAGTAAGGTGTCAGGGATGGGAACGTGTCCTTGGTGTGCACGGAAAGTGATGGCAAGAGGCAAAGCTTTGGAAGCCGGCAGACGTCGACCCCGACACTCAGGTCTCTGAGCACCAGCTTTCTCTCCTCCACATATGATGCCCACCTACAGGCTGTTTAGGGGGAGGAAACGAGACAGTGTTAGGAAGGCAATATAGAACAGTGCCAGGCACTCCGGCGAGTGAGGAAAGCTCTGCTTCCTTCCTCCCATAAAACTACTTTGAGATCATAGGGAAAGTGATGAGTAGGAAGCGGAACCACGAAAGAATGGAAGCCGCCTTCTGGCCTAAAGGATAGGAGGATACTCACTATATAAAGATCTCTTGATTCAAAGAAGCTTTCAGATTAAAGAAAAAAGAAGAAGAAAGGAAAGAAGAAAATGTAGAACAGCCACCTGGGTTTTTGGATTAGCTGATTCCCAGATACAGATGCTCGTAAAAAGGAGCTGGAGCGATTCCAGAAACGAACCTGAAATGCCAGGCTTTGCCTTGGCACACCCCCCAGGTTTTCCCGCACAGCGTACGCAGTGAGCTCGAATTTGGCCCGAAGCCTTGACTGTTCCCTTGGCGGCAGCGGGGTGGAGGGCAGACCAGCAGGTGTGGGAAGCTGCGAGGTAAGGAAGGAGCAAGCAGGTGTCGGAGGAG